GCTGTTCCCAAATGACTAGCATTGCAAAGGGGATGCTGGAAAGCTTGATCAGAGCACCGAAGCTCGGTGACGTTGGTGAGGCATCGTGTCTGCTTTCGTCTTCGTCAATCACACTGTGCAGGACGTTGCTCCAGCGGAGGGTGACGCGGCGCGAGCGCCAAAAGCGGTTGGCGTTGGCCCCGAAGGGGGCTGGCGAAGCGGGGCAGACATGGTCTGAGGTGCAGGCGTCGACTCGACAGACGTGTACTTTGTGTTTACGCCGATACTTGGGGGGCGTAGAGAAGTGTTCGGTATATTCTCTTTCGGGGTTGAGGCGCCTGGCAAAGTAGTTCGCGCAGAATTGAAGGATATCGGTGGGATGGCGTTCAAGTACGAGTTGATCGAGGGCCTTGATCTCAATTTGGTAAGCTTCAGGTAGCGACGTGTTGGAATTGGGTATTGCGTAGGGAATCGGTGATAAGAAGAGGGGGAGGGTTGACAGGTGCTGGGGGTTGAAATTCAAGAATTGACGTTGACGGCGGTGCATAAGAAGGAAGTTATCGTGAGAAGGACCAAGAATGCTGCATCGTGACAATCGGTGGGGGGGATATTGCAGGTGTCAGACCAAAAGAAATTGCGGGTTCGATATTTACCTGTGCTTGAGGCTGTCTCTGCGTGACCAGTCTGTCTCAACGCTGCAATGACTGCTCCGTGATTGTTAGCGGCGGCGCTTATTGAAGCTGGTGTATTGCAATGACGTTCAAGGGGATTCGCCGGGGAGGGGGGCGAAGTTGCTCTCAGAATCCGGGGCTCGATGCCAAGGAAGTTAAGAGTAGCGCTGCGTGAGAAGGGAGGAAGGAAAGGTCGTTGACATGAACATCCCATGCTCCCCGGCTTCGAAATGTGGAATCAAGAAAACAAAGGCAAGGGGACGGGACAGTGCGGCATGGGACGATGGATCATCCACCAGCAGCGTGTCATGGAGGGTTGACTCAGACGACAAGGTCTTGGATACCACGGCTGACTTACCAAAATGAGCAGATGGGAGAATCGGGCCTTTATAGGAAGATGCAACTGCAGGTCCAGCAGGGCGGTTGAATGTTGGCTCCCGAGGTTTGAGACCGTCGTGCAGGATCGTCAAGCCGTAGGTAGACAGGAGCTCGAGTGACAAGACGCCGAAGGGTCGAGCTCGGGGTGGTGGGTGTCGGAGAGAGCGAGGCAAAGGGGCGAGAATGGAGAAACTACTGTAGCCACAGAATCCTGCCAGATGCAGATGCCGGCCGGGACGTCGTCGGAGGCGAGCCTGTGTGACAAGAGGAGGCCAGAGAGATGAGGGAAGAGATGGAATGGGCGGGTTGGTTTGGCAGCAAACGGTCAGGACTGCAGAGTAAATATGGTTGTGTAGACAAAGGGGGTTTGCGGAGGAGAGAAGGGGGGAAACAGCTCAGAAATGGCTGGCCTGGGAGGTCGCTGTATGAAT